TATGATAGGCTCGTTCTCCCGCGCGAACACACGAGTGCACGCTACTGCAGAAATTGCATCGTTTCGCTTTCACATGTCGGATGCGGTCGGGACGACGATCCTCGTATCCCAGTTTGCGTGGATCTTTCAAGAAAAGAGGGAGAAAGAGAGAGAAAGAGAGAGAGAGAGAGAGATGAGACGAAACAAGACGAAAGACTAAACCGCGCTCCCATTCCTCCTCGATTTCGACAGCAACACGAACGTCGGACTCTTATGCCATAAAACAGCTCCATCTTTGCCGATCAGTCCGTAGAAGAGAGAGAGAGAGAGAGAGAGAGAGAGAGAGAGAGAGAGAGAGAGAGAGAGAGAGAGAGAGAGAGATGTATAAACGTCGTTAACGAGAGCGAAGCTCTTCACACTTTCGATCAAAATCAAACGGCAATTAATCTTTCTAATATACACGTCATCCTTGAAACGTTTATTATGGAAGATTCATTCAATATTTTATCTCCAATCTATTTGACGATATTTTTTCTAAATACAAATTTGCAAGATGATTTCTTTGCAATATCTTTACATATATATGCACACACATACATATATATTTTCCTTTTCTTTTTTTATTATAATGTATGAAATAAAACTCATTTTTTTTTTTTTTTTTTTTAAAAGATCACCATTGACAAATTAAAGGGTATCTGACAGGTATTATAAAAAGAACGATATTTTTTTGAAAGGAAAAAAGAAAAAGAAAAAAAAAAAACAAGAAGAAAGAAAGGAAGAAAGAAAGAAAGAAAAGAGGAAGGAGAACGAACAAAAAAAAAAAAAAAAAAAAAACAAAAAAAAGAAAAAAGAAGAGGAAAAAACAAAAACAGATATATCGAACTCGTTATTATTCGAACGATAATCCTTTAAGAAAGTTATCGCACTTAAAAATCGACGATATAAAGTGATGATTATTTATCTGAACAAAAATTTGCGTAATGTAAATGAACGTAAAGAGAAATATAATAGTAATAATAATAATAATAATAATAATAATAATAATAGTAATAGTAGTAGTAGTAGTAGTAGTAGTAGTAGAAGTAGTAATAATAATAATAATAATAATAGTAGTAGTACGTGTTTCGTTATATTTGGGTGAGAACGACAAGAGAGTGAGGAAAGGTGGAGAGGGTACTAATTTAATGGAAACCAGGACGCAAAAGGAAACGTAAACGTTGTCGATCGCATTGGAGAAGATGACAGGATTCCGTGAGACTCTCTCTCTCTCTCTCTCTCTCTCTCTCGCTCTCTCTCTCCCTCCCTCCCTCTCTCCCTCACTCTCTTTCTCTCTCTATCTCTTTCTCTCTTTTGAAAGATCGATGAACATCTTGTTCGAACACGTGTACCAAGTGGCCCAAGACGAAAACAGAAGGACTCTGACGTTATGTTTCGTTATGTTTGTTACGTCGGCCAGCCATAAAGATAACCTGCCACTCTTGCATACGTAACGCGTAACATTGCGCAATCGTTACGGATATATCGCATCTAATGATCCGCCGCCGTTGGGCTCCTGCAAGAGTCTACGAGAGAATCCTGATCGTTGCTAAACGAACGCGAACCGGTTCCATTCGTGCTTTAAAATATAACCTATCGAGATTTTCGAACGATTTACCTATGACCTTTTTACCTTTTTTCCTTTTTCTTTTTTTTTTTCTTTTTTTTTTTCCCCCGTCGTACACATGGTTCCTACACGTTCAGACGTTTTTTTTTTCCGTCTGACGTTTTTGGTTTCTTCTTTTTCTCTTTTTTTTTTCTTTTTTGTTTTTATTTTATATCATTTTATTTTATTTTATCTTTTCTTTTTTTGTTTTCTTCTTTTTTTTTTTTTTTTTTTTTTTTTGTACAAGTATCATCCAACTTTTTTCTACGTTTTATTTGCATTTCTTTTTATTATTATTATTATTATTATTATTATTATTATTATTATTATTATTATTATTATTGTTATTATTATTATTATTATTATCATCATTATTATAACGATATATGTGTATATGTATGCACGTGTCAATGCTTATAAAAAATATCCTAAATGAAAAAATGTAGATTCAATTATAGAAACAATTAAATTTATAAAATATTCCTTATTGTTATATATCGATCTTTAAATAAAAAAGTAAATAAATAAATATATATATATATATATCATACGAGATTTGTTTAAGAGACGAAGACACTTTCGTGCGATTTCATGCTCGCGATATAACTGTCACCGCAAAAAGAAACGAAGTGCCATGAGAGAACAACTGATCGGCAAGCGCGATAACTCATAACTTTATAAACAGACCGCATTCTTTCGTACGTAAGTAAGTACGTAAATACTTACGTGTACTTTCCACGACGTGAGTATGTACTTATATATCCACGCGGATCGAACTGGCCTGCAAATATTTTATAAATGCAAATTATATGCATGATTTTCGGAACTAACGCATTAATAATGAGGAAAAGAAACAAGAAAAAAGAAAAAAAAAAAAAAAAAAAAAAAAAAGAAAAAGAAATACGAAATATATCGACTTCTACGCTTGACCTCTCACATTTGATTTTTCCATCGAAATAAACACTTAATCTCTGTTCGAGTTTTATCATTGTCGATCGCTATACCGATACAATTTAACTTTAAAATACGTAAAAGTGGTGTCTCGAATTTAAACGAATTAAAAAAAAAAAAAAAAAAAAAAAAAAAAGAATTGATCTCTCTCTCCCTCTCTCTGTCGTCATTAATTCGATTTTCCATTTTCTTTTTCTCATTCCATCATCATTCTTTTCTTCTATCTATAAATCAACGAACCCAATCACAGAACGATCGTGTCCCATAATCTAAAATGATAAAAGCAATATCAATGCAAAATTAATCTACTTAATAAAACGTTACAAAATTGATCCGTTCACCGTACATCCGTATCAACATTTAGATATATCTTTATCTCTACAAAAGGCTTGATTAAACGATTAGATACACTTACATCATGAATGAACCTCTTATCATCAAAGAGATCGTATTAAAATCATCTCGTCGGGCTAAGTAATACAGCTGTTATTTATCGTAAGGAGAAGGTACGAAACGAATAAGAAATAAAAGAAGAAGAAGAAGAAGAAGAAGAAGAAGAAGAAGAAGAAGAAGGAGACGAGGAAGGAGAAGAAGAAGAAGAAGAAGAAGAAGAAGAAGAAGAAGACGTTCGATACAAGTATGGGGCAACGACCTATAGAGATGGCCGCTCCTACCGGAAGCGAATCGAAACCGATCCTCTTGTCCCTTAACAAACCTTCTTCTCACTCTCTCTCTCTCTCTCTCTTTCTTTCTCACACTTTCTTTCTTTAGATCGTTTTAGACACGAGTTGTAAAAGGGGAAGTCACGGTGGTTGGGGGTGGGATGGGATGGGTGAATGGTATGGCATGAGATAGGGTGGTGAAAAAGGGGGAGAGAAGGAGGATAGGGATATCGTAGAAAACACGTTCGTACCTTTCAATACCTTCGTAACACCTCATAGATCAACCAAGTCGATACTTTTTCATTTCTTTTATCAAATCTCCCTCCCCCTTTCTCTCTCACTCTCTCTCTCTCTCTCTCTCTCACTCTCTCTCTCTCTCTCTGTCTTATTCGCTAATTCTTTCATTAACTTCTCTCTTCTCCTTCTTGTTCTTCTACATCTACTATTTCTATTTCTTCTTCTTCTTCTTCTTCTTCTTCTTCTTCTTCTTCTTCTTCTCCTTCTTGTTCTCGTTCTTCTTCTTGTTTTTCTTAAAGCGGATGACCGGGCAACGGCCGGATCACAGCTGCTGTTCATGCCACGAGAATACTAGCTCGCTATCGCGAGTAGCTCGCGAGCTACTTAACTACACTAGGGCCGTTGGTTTTAAGCTACCTTCTATATGTATACGTATATATTCTATATGTAAAATATCTATATGTATTTACGTATATACGTATGTATGTACGTAAGTATGTATGTATATATGTATGTATACGATGGGTGAACCGTCCGCGGCATACCGTGCCGCTATCAATTAGATTAGAGGATTTATTCGCGGTTATCCGGGCTACAAAGTCGCGTATCGCCTATGCCAACTCGAGCGTATAGAGACTATACCTGCATATATATTGGCAAACGTGCCTACATACATATGTACACGTTTTACCGATCTACGTGCTCGTTTCGCGCCTATCTCTTTATTGGGGAAAGATCGTTCATCTTTATATATATCTAATTATTTATTTGTTTATTTATATATATATATATCTTATATGTATCTATATGTACATATACATATACGTATATATATTTTTTTTACATGTATATGTATACATATATCCATTTATATATATATATATATATGTGTGTGTATGTGTAAATATATATATATATATATATATATATATATATATATATATATATATATATGGATAGTAGATATACATTATATAGGTACACAAAGATGAACAAGAGATAAAGAAAAAGCAAAGAGTAGAAAAGACACGTGCTCGGTGAAGCAGCTATACCAAGTAGATTCGCTCGTTATACCATGAGTTATTTATTATATATGAGAGACAACGAGAAAGACAGAGAGAGAGAGAGAGAGATTCTATACGAAGATGTCTCCGCGATGTCAGGACGTATCGACTGAAGAATTTCTCTATACATTATCGTTTCTCTTGCAAAAGATACGTCATCGATTTCCCCCTCTCTTTCTCTCTCTCTCTCTCTCTCTCTCTCTCTCTCTCTCCCAATCCATCTGCCTTTATCTATTTATTTCTTTCAATCTTTTTTCTCCTTTCGTTTTAATATGCGAACATCCGATCGCATTCGAGCGAAAAGATAGTATGATTTCTTTTCGTGAATTCTCTTCCACAAGCTCCATAGATATTATTATCGTCATTATTATTAGCATAACTTGGATGTAGGAGATTAATGTTAACGAGAGCATATCCTGCTGTTTGCTTCTTTCTTCTTCCATTTTTTTTCCCCATCCCTTTTTTCTTTTCCTTTTTTCTTTTCTTATTTATTTATTTATTTATTTATTTATTTATTTTTGCTTCTTTTCCTTTTCTTCTTCTCTTCTCCTTTCCAACGTGCGTAGGAGACGTACATTCCTTCTGTGCATAAAACAAATCGACCGATTCGCAGGACAGGTAGAACATATACTTACACCTACCTATATATATATATATATATATATATATATATATATATATATATATACATATATATATTGCGATTAAGCGTGTCTAACGCGCTTTCTCCGTGTGCACGAGATCACGCGAAAAGGGAAGCCATACGTTTTCCTAGGAACCCGTTATCGTCGTACTCGCGCTGCTGCTTCCTCGATATGATCGAATTAATCGAATCGCGACGTTGCTCGAAAGAGACCGATCCGATGATTTTCTCTGTCTTTCTCTCTCTCTCTCTCTCTCTCTCTCTCTCTCGCTATTACTCTAAACTATTTATTCATCCTTTTTCTCAGACACCTTGGTACACTTCTCTTACTTATTAACACAGCACGCGCATACCACTTAGATATCTGTCTTCCTTGTGAATTTATATTTAGATTTTACATAGGTTCTCGATTTATATTTTGTGAATCAGTTGAGTAATATTAAATTGTTCATACGTATATATAAATAATTATATAAAAATATATTAAATAAATATACTCTCTCTCTCTCTCTCTCTCTCTCTCTCTCTCTCTCTCTCTCTCTCTATCTCTCTCTTTGTAATATAAACGATATAAGATTTTTTTTATATAAATATATATAATTTATATAGATTTGAAAATTTTGATTAAAAAAAAAAAAAAAAAAAAGGTCTATCGATTTGAACGTTCTATAATAATAATTTTTATTCTCAAACGATTTTTCAATATATTTATATTGAAATATATTTTCTTAGATTTTCTTTGAATAGTCGCATCCATTGATTTCTTGTTTTCTCACATTTTCTCTCTCTCTCTCTCTCTCTCTCTCTCTCTCTCTCTCTCTCTCTCTCTCTCCCTATTTTTCTTTTTATTTATTTTATCGTTCTCTCTGTACTCCGTTACCATGCCGTGTCACTTTATTGCCAACGACCGATCTTATTTCAGCCGCGGTGAAGGGCTCCAAGTTATCGGGAGCTCGCTAGTCCACTGCCCTTTCTTCCTTCGTGTATTTGATTTTTTCTTTTTTTTTTTTACTTCCATCCACATATATATATAAATATATATATATATATATATATATATATATATATTTATTTCAATAGAAATAGTTGCCATATAATTCACGAATAAAAAGGATAGTAACATAATTAATAAAAAAAAAAAAAAAAATAAAAAAAAAGGGAATCAATCGATGAACCTACGATACATTTGAAATTTTAATCGTGCGATTAAAAACGAATTTCGATGTCGCGATTGTGACCGCAAATAGAAAAAGAAAAAGAAAAAGAAGAAAAACAAAAAAAGAAAAAAAAAGGAAAAAAGAAAGAAAGAAAGAGAAAAAGAAACGGATAAAAATTCGAAAAGTATCGAAATCATTTATCGATCGAATAATAAATTTTTGTAAATGATTTATCCCATTGTCGATTGGCAAACATATCGGAAATATTCGTATTTGGAAAACTGTTAAGAAAGTAGAAATTCAATGAGAACATAAAGGATAATAATTATTCATTCGGTATTTGTCAGTCGGCATTCACGAGGACCTCTTTGTATCTTCTTGCCGCTGTGTATCGTGTCATTTTATTGCCACGACGTGATCGTCTTACTACGGTCGTGCCTCGTGGTAAAGACGTAAGTACCGTAGACACGATCCTCGAGTTCTAGCTTGCAGCCCGACTACCGAGGCACACAGAGAAAGAGAGAGACGAGAGAGAGAGAGAGAGAGAGAGAGAGAGAGAGTATCGTGAGGACGTACGGAAGGCGCTCGATTCTCCTCCGATATTTTCCATCCGCGATTCCCTCTCGGATCCTCTCTTCTTCTTTATTTTTTCATCCTCGATCGAGAAAGAAAGAAAAAGAAAGAGAGAGAGAGAGAGAGAGAGAGAGAGAGAGAGAGAGAGAGAGAGAGAGAGAGAGAGAGAGAGAGAGAGAGAGATAGATAGAAAGAGAGATATATAATAATAGATCCAATATTCGTATCAATTGATTTTACATATTTGACTGATCAAAATGAATTCTATCCTATATAATTGTATTCTAAAATAATTTTGTTTTTGTTTTTAAGAAGATTAAAAGAAAGAAGAAAGAAATTATTACTTTAATCGAACATTATCTCGATATATTGATATCGTCAATTTCTTGTTTTCCCTTTTTTCTTTTTTTTTTTTTTTTTTTTTTCTTTCTTTTCTTCTCTTTTCATCGTAACACTTACAATTATCGAAATGATGAGTTTTTACGTGTCTACATTTACGACATTATCGAAATTACAATTAGTTAGAGTGATATTAAATGATCGTCGTTTTGAACGTTTTGGTCGGTCAAGTCCGACGATCGAAGTGAAAACAAAAAAAAAAAAAAGAAAAAACGAAACAACGAAACGAAACGAAACAAAACAAAAAAGAAAGAAAAAAAGAAAATTAAAAAAGTCGATAATTCGAAGCGCATAAATAAAGTCGTACTGTGAAAGTTTTCTCGTCGATGTGTTATCGTGTGATTTTAAATTAAATTAAATAAAACTAAAGAAAAAAAAAAAGAAGAGAAAAAAAAAGAACAGTTTAAAACGAAACAAAAAGAAAGACAGGACAAACAAAAAAAAAAAAGAAACAGGAAAAAAAAATCCACACAATTTCTCTCTCATTCTCTTTCTCTCTTTTGGAAAAAAGAGATTGAAGAATCGGTACGAGTCAGGCGTGTCGTCGTTCGATAAATCTCAACGAGCAGTGCTCGTAAAAGAGAAATATATGCGTCTATCGGAGTGCGCGACGTGCCTCTCGAAATGCTCCAAAAAGTCTGACACCATACGCGAAATGTTCCGAACGTTTACACGAAGATGAAGAAGATACTTACATGTTACGTACATATATATGTAAATATTGAAACAAAATAAAAGAGAGAGTCGCGTGTACGAGCCAAAAGAGCGAGCGTGCGCGCGCTCAAGCGTGTGACATGAGTACGCAAATACAAACACTCATATACACCCACATACGTATTACATATATTACACGTACACATACATATATATATATATATATATATATATATATATATATATAGAGAGAGAGAGAGAGAGAGAGAGAGAGAGAGAGAGATCGCATGTACGGACATATACAGAGATATATAATTCACGCACGTGTAGTAAACGTGGATCGGTGTAAAACGTAAAGGCGGATATACGGGGGATACGGCAGGAAATGATTTGTGTCGTATCTCCTCGTCCGGCCGAACAATACCTCTACTACCGTGACTGACTCATCCTCTGAGCTACGAAATCAAACTCGAAAATGAATCCGCACCTCTTTCTTTCTAAAGTCTATGTGAAAAAAAAAAGAAAAAATTGATAGAGATAGAGAAAGATAGAAAGATAGATAGAGAGAGAGAGAGAGAGAGAGAGAGAGAGAGAAGAAACAATGTAAACATTTTTTCTCAACATTAGTTAAGATTTCCCTAAACGTCATTCGACGGATATATAGACATAAATACACGTTTTAATTATAAAGAAGGATTAATTAATATAAAGAAAAAAACTTTCAAAAGAATGAATATTATTATCGTAATATATCCAAAACGAACGTTAATTTAAATTCAAACTTATTCGTGAAACTTATTGGATATAAAAAATCGATAGAATATTAAAAATCGATAAAATATATAACTCGTATATATATATATATATATATATATATATATATATATCACGTTCCTGTTCAAAATATCAACGTCATAGATTAACCAACAACTTATGATATCTAAGGATATTTTTTTCTTTTTATATATAACAAAAAATTTAATTGCAAAATTCTTTGAATTAAATAATATTATAAAGACACGCATAGAAACACGTATATACATGTATGTGTGTATGTGTATGTGTTTCACATTGTGGACATCAAATAGCCATCGTTCTTTTTCCACCAACTTCCCTTTTATTTCCTCGAAGACAATAATATACCATAACTATTGGATACATAACGTCAAGGTGTAATTACGATCTTCTAATAAGGATTATAGACTCATGAGGAGGAATCGAATAACGAAAGGGACCATAAGAGAGAAAGAGAGAGAAAGAAAAAGAGAAAAAGAGAGTGAATACGAGAGAGAGAGAGAGAGAGAGAGAGAGAGAGAATGAGAGAGAAAAGAAAGGAAAGAGGGTAGCCAGTAGATGATGATCGATATAGCATTGGTATCATCGTAGAGTAATTATGGAAGGATGAGAGAGAAAGAGAAAGAGAAAGAGAAAGAGAAAAAAAGAAAGAGAGAGAGAGAGAGAGAGTTGGTGGCGAAGAGGAGCTCCGGCCCTCTCGGCGAGTAAAGAGCAAAGTAAAGGGTTCCTGCGGTTGGAGGCGCGTTGTTGCGGTTAAAGCCATAACACGTCACGTCGAAGCTCCAGCCACTTCTTAACTACCCGATTCGCCGCTCTCCTTCGCGAATGGAGCAGCAAGCGAGCGAGCGAGCGAGCGAGCGAGTGAGTGAGTGAGTGAGTTAGTGAAAGAGATAGAGATAGATAGATGGATAGATAGAGAGAGAGAAAGAGAGAGAGAGAGAGAGAGAGAGAGAGAGAGAGAGAGAGAAGATAAAAGAAAGAGAAAGAAAGATAGCTGCTTGGTAGCCGACACACAGCACGCATTTATAATATACGCGCTCGGTACGAGAGACGACCGCCGGTCAATTATTGCTCGACACGACCGCAGAACTACGGACAATCCGCGTTTGCCGTCCGTCGACGCGTATCGCTCGAGATTCGCAATACGAGAGTGAGTAAAAGAGAAACAGAGAAAGAGAGAGCGAGAGAGAGAAAGAGAGAGAGAGAGAGAGAGAGAGAGAGAGAAGTAGGAGGTAGATCGTTTCTGCGCCGTGGATTCTCCAGTCGTCTTCATCGTCGTCCTCTCGTCGTTCTTCTCATCATTCTCGTCGTCCTCATCGTCCTCGTCATACTCATCGTCCTCATCGTTTTCATCCTCCTCG